AAGCTTCTATTGGAGTGTTGTCACATGATTTTGGGATTATGAAATTATCTTGAAATTATTTGCCTAACTTATGTATTAATCATTTTGTAGGTTGACAACTCCAAGTTGATCGTAATAACTACTTACAATGCTATGAACAAATGTACATGTCACTTAGCCCACCAACGCATAATTGATTATTACTTTTGGTAGAGGAAGAAGTTTCGACTTTTTTCTGCAATTGGGGTACATTAAAGACCTTTGTTGGTCTACTTTGATTGTAATGTCCCCCATACTTACCATTGAAAGTAGTGTTGGGTCAAACGAGTTAATATTTTCTCTTTGTTTATAATGTTGTAAGTTGCATATGTTCATGTTGATATGTTTGTTGATTGTTACAATGTTTCAATCTTGGTTGTTGTTCCCACCCTACTGTTATTAGATGTGTGAGTCTGTTCAATGCACCGCTGAACTCACCCATTAGTTTTTAGCACTATTGGTTGAGCAGGCGAAAACAGGCCACGATACTATAATAAAATCTTCTGACCACGAGGATTAGTGAGCAGTTAGAAAATGTAGCTAAGATGAAACTGGAAGTCAAACAGTTGTCTTCTAAGTACTTTCGCTTGTGATTGACATACTACTCTTGGCGTGTGCTAATTAAACATACAGGGTTTGGTTGGGATCGTGAGTTGCAAACTCTAACATGTTTTAAAGAGATTTAGGAAGAATATGTAAAGGTAAACAACATTTTTTTTTTTTCAGTTCTTATAACACAATAGTTGGTATGCATTTTTTTTTTGGAAAATATGAATTAATGTATGTATGTTTTCATTAATAGCAAAACCCAAGGGCACAACAATTCCTACATAAGGGACTTGTTGATAGAGAGTTATATGAGGTCATATTCGAGAAGGAAAATGCAACTGGCAGATTTGCTTACATATCTACATCTCAACCTGCGGTATCTAACATGGGTTTTCATGATCCTTTTGAGGCGGACATGGATCTAGATGACTTTGAATCTAATCCAGATAAATCAACTGGGGAAAAACGATCTAACAGGTCTAGCTCTAGCCATTCCGTAAATAGGAGGAAGAGGAGAGACGTCCAAGGAAACCAACTAGTGGGTGTGATTGGTCAGTTGGTTAAAGCTATTTCTAATAGGACTATGGGATTTGGCATCATATCACTGTGCCGATGATGGGACCGAAGAGAACACAGGTGTTGGGACGAATCGATATTTCCTGAGAAATTATCAGGAAATTTTGGAAAGTATGCAATTTCCACCACAGCTATATTTAGATGTTGTGAAGTACTTAGTAGCCAACCCAAAGTGGCATTAGATAATGGTGAACATGTCACTGGAGATAAGAGAATTTTGGATTTATAATGACTTCCGTAGTATGTAGGTGACGGTGTTTGACTTCCTTGTTGAACTTGTATTTTTTACTTGTTAGTCTTTATTTATTCCTTTGATATTTGAGATATTTTATATTTACTACCTTCATATTTAAGACTTAACTTGCTTTGTTATAAGAACTGATACACAATGTGGTGTTGTGCAATGTTTCATATATGTTGGATATGGTCAACAGATTTTAAAATTGAATGTTAATTATACTTTGGTTAGTATTACAAAAAATATGAACTAATGAACAAATTGTTACAAATGGACAAGTATAGATGGCATTGTGTAGCCATACAAATCATAACCGAGATAATGAAAGTGAAAAAGTAGAGTTATATGTACATGTTGTTACCGCATTGTATGGGACTATTGCGTATGAAACAGAGTTCAGCATCCAAGGACATCAACCTAGACATACATCTGTATTAAATGTTCACGATTATGTGGTGGAACTAGTAACTGGTCATCCTACAAGAATATACAATAAGTGTCGCATGGGCAAATGATGTTTTTAGACCTTATGTTATATATTGGCACAACAAGGCAAAGTGCAGGTAACTCGGCACATGAGTATTGAAGAGCAAGTAATGATATTTATAACAACAGTTGGGAAAAATGCATCAAATAGTGATTGTAAGGAGGATTACCAACATTCTGGTGAGGCAGTCTCTAGATATATCCATGTAGTTTGTGATGCGATATTGGAGTTGAAGTTAGATTTTATCAAGCCACCTCACTTCAATGATGTTCCATTAGAGATATTGACCAACCAAAACTATTACCCTTTCTTTAAGGTACTTCTTAATTATTTTTAATTAGTTGGTAGTTAAGTTCATTTTTTTTTTAAATGTTGTTAGTCTTCACATATTATTAAAATGCAATTTTGTCGACAGGACTGCATTGGAGCGATTGACAATACACATGTACATGCGTGGGCACCAACTGAGGTAGCCGATACGTACCAAAATCGTAAAGGGACATTGTCGCAGAATGTGATGGCCGTATGTGACTTCAAGATGTTGTTCACATACGTCGTCACCAGCTAGGAAGGATCTGCCCATGATGCAAGGATTTTAAATTTAGTTCTAGATAATCCTGATTCGGGTTTCCCACATTCTCCTCTAAGTATAATTAACTTCTTTACGTATTCTAGCTAAACTGTAAACATTTTTTTAAGATTCTGCAAATAACATTCAGTATTTCATTATAGAAAAATATTACTTAGTAGATGCGAGTTATGCAAACAGAGGTGGGTTCCTTAACATGTTCCCGATGCACGTTGTAACCTTTCTAGACCCTTGGAGTTGTTTAATTACAGACATGCATCACTTCAAAATGTTGTGGAGAGGACCTTTGGTGTTTTGAAAAAAAGGTTGCACATTCTTGATGGCATGAACAATTACCCGTTGGAGAAGCAAGCTAAAATTGCTATGGCATATTGTGTAATTCATAATTTTATCAGAAGGTTCGATATGAACGACCCTATCTTCCAAAAGTTTAATGCCGATGGAGTTTATGAGGAAGGGAATGGGGCGGGTTCGAATCAACCGACTCAACATAATACATATGACATGGGAACTTTGAGGCATAACTACTGCTATGTGGGCAGAACATGAATCCATCTCGTAATTATTAACTGAATATAGGTGTACGAAGGATTCTAAGGGATGATTATCAGTAGCTTCGTATTATTAATTTAGATATGTATTAATGTCGTGTTTTTAAATGATATATTAGTAGTTGAAATTATTATGGAGAATTTGTTTTTAATTCAGTGATAAAAAAATTACCAAACAACTAATTAATATTATTTAAATGTAAATTGAAAAGTTCAATAAATCAAATAATAATAAAATTTAATAAAATGCATCAAAATATTCTATCTTAAAATCCTTTTTGAAAAAATATACCAAACAATTATTCAGTAATTAATTTAACCCTAATATAATATTCAAATAATGTACCAGTACATGTTCAAATTCAAATCCTATTCCATTAAATACAACTCAACACAACTTTTTTCAAAAGACTATTCTAAAAAGTGCCAAAATAGTGAACCAAATAGAGCCTTAAGTAGTAGATTTCGTGTTTGATATTTATTTGCAGTTGGGTCATACAAGTTGTTTGCTTGAGAATTTTTATCTATGTATGCTGAAATTGTCTACAAATTTCAAATTGCTTAAATGATACATATTGGATAGATGAGGTATGAAATTTGATTTCGAATAATCAACTTATGATTTTTATAATGTTATGGGCTNAGTGTTTTTAAATGATATATTAGTAGTTGAAATTATTATGGAGAATTTGTTTTTAATTCAGTGATAAAAAAAATTACCAAAAAACTAATTAATGTTATTTAAATGTAAATTGAAAGTTCAATAATCAAATAATAAAAAATGTTAATAAAATGCATCAAAATATTCTATCTTAAAATCCTTTTTGAAAAAATATATCAAACAATTATTCATCAATTTATTTAACTCAAATATAATATTCAAATAATGAACCAAACACATGTTCAAATTTAAACTCTATTCTATTAAATACAATTGAACTCAACTTTTTTCAAAAAAAACTATTCTAAAAAGTATCAAAATAGTGAACCAAATATAATATTTCAAAAATATTATTCAAAATATTAAACGCACCCAATTTGTATTTTCTTCTATTAATATTGAGACGGATGTCAACTAATATCAAAATAATAATAATAATAATAATAATAAAATGATACTTGTAAAACGTATCAAACCTAGAATTCTTAATTTCTACATTTTTATCCAAAAATATATCTTTCTTGTTTTCTTTAAAAAACAAATTAAAATGAAATGTTTGATATTGACTTAAGTAATTAGTAAAGAAATCCATGAATCTATCTTTAAATCTTGGAAGCAAATGTTGTTTGATTAAAACAATACAAAGCATAATATTTGAAAAATGTATTTTTTATATTAGTGAACTAATCAATCAAAGATATATTGCTTCGTTGGTTTATTATTGGATGATTTTTATAATAGTATTTTGAAAAAAAAAAATTGGGATATCTTTACGAGAAAGGTAATTATTAATGTTTTGTGAGATGAATAAAGTAGAATAAGATTTTGAGAATATTGAAACAAATGCATTTTTGGGTTGATTTTCTGTTTAGCTTTATTGGAAAAACTAAAATAGTATTTTAAAGAGTATACCAACCAGAATGTTCTTTTATAAATTTGTTTTGTGTTTTGTGAAAAAAATTAAAATAATTGATATATATTATGTGTATTCAGAAAATCAAAATATGTGTTACATGATTTCAGGATTTTAAAAATACAAAAGCTTATGTTTGTCTAAAATATTATATTTTTAAATTAAATTATCAATTAAAAATAACTCAAATAATAGAAACATGAAGATGTATGCACAGTTGCACACAAATCACTCCTAAGATGTTGTGACCCAAACACCTGTTTGGGAGGGCAAAATTTGTACTTTGTATTAAATTGATTTCAAGAAAACACGTGTCCTTTAAAGGACTAAGGTGTACCGTTACACTGTACACGAAGAGGCACACCCGCCAAGTCGCCAACTTCACGATAAAAAGTTAAAAAACCCTACCATGTAATAGAAAATGAATCGTGGCCGTTGGTTTTATCTTGTAAAATACAGCTAGGGTTTTAGTATTTTAGCTCGTGGCTCTTCGTTTCTTTTACGTCTTCAAGTTTTTGCTGCTGCAACACTTGAGCTTCAACAATGGTAATTACCCTCTGTGTTTCGAATTTCGCATATCTACTCAATTTCGCTGATATTACTTTTGATCTTTTGATTTCGTTTCGTTTTGTTTTGTTTTACATTTTACGGCTTCGTAGTTCACGTTTGTGTAGGATCTTTGTTATGCATTCGAGTTTCGGTGATAAGAGAAGTGGGTTCTGTTGTTAGTTTGATTTATTATTATTTTTTTACAAAGTGGGAAGTAAAAAGGGCAAAAAAAACCCAGCTGAGAAAAAAAAAAAAAAAGTGGGTTCTGTTCTTATTATTAGTAAGTTCAATTAGTTGTTTTTTCTTGTGTTTTTTCTTTTATCAGTTAGTTAAGGTGCTGAGAGATTCTCTGCGTCAGCTGTGAGGATTAGAAAGAGGGGTTTGTGTGTGTCTACTTTAGATGGATATTTTTTATTTACAATAGTATGCACTTCAAATCTAACCTCTAGAGGTTTTAGGTTGGGAATTTTTGGGCCTAACATGATTTAGGTCGATGCAATTTTATATGGGATTCCTCCCTTGTAGTGATTTCTCTCTGAATGAAATTTATGAATTACAGGTTTTTGTCAAAGCACAAAAGTCGAGAGCTTACTTTAAGCGGTTTCAAGTGAAGTACAAGAGGAGACGAGGTTTTTTATTCTTATTTTTTGGGGTAATTGATGGTACTTTTATTTTGATTATTTTACTTTTTATAATTAATTTTTGCTTGAATTTTTGTAGAGGGAAAGACTGACTACCGTGCCAGGATTCGCCTCATTAATCAGGACAAGAACAAGTACAACACTCCGAAATATCGTTTTGTTGTGCGATTCGTATCCTGACTATTTCTTATAATTATTTTGTGCTGTCTTTTCTCTGAAGTGATAGCGTACTATGAGACTTTATATTCATGTGGCTACTTTGGAAATGTTGGTTGTGCCTGCATGGAATTTGTGATTTGAACCTGGTGTGAAATCATTAAAGAGAAATTAATATAAACTTGGCTTACATGTCACTGAGGTTTTCTTATAGCATTTTTTATTCCTCAAGTATGTTTAATTGTTTTGTTAATATTTATTCTTTACATCTTACCCTTAACTCCATTGTTAGACCAATAAAGATATAACTGCACAAATCATATCTGCTAGCATTGCTGGTGATATGATCCTTGCATCTGCTTATGCTCATGAGCTTCCTCATTATGGGCTTGAGGTGGGCCTTACAAATTATGCAGCAGGTATAATAAGATTCACTTGTTATTCTAGACGTGGTCCTTTTTCTTTGCAATCAGAAAGGTCCTTATTGCTTATTCAATGATCCTTAGCTTACTGCACTGGACTTCTCTTGGCTCGCCGAGTCCTAAAAAAGCTTGAAATGGATGAAGAGTATGAAGGAAATGTTGAGGTACCGGTGTATATTTTGTATTCATTGACAAAAAATTATTTTTATCCTATTTGAATAGAAAGCTAAGTTTCAAATCTATTGCTGACAGGCAACTGGGGAGGATTACTCTGTCGAGCCAACAGATACCAGGAGACCTTTCCGTGCTCTCCTTGATGTTGGTCTTGTGAAGACAACTACCGGAAACTGTGTTTTCGGTGCTCTCAAGGTATTATGAATCCCCTTGCTTAATTCTTTGGTGCCTATTATGTTTATACGAGTGCTTTGGCCTGGCTTCTTACCATATTGGATATCTCAGTCCAATTACATGATCTTTGATTTAATCTTGGTTTTCTTTAACAAGAATTTTTGTCTGCTGGATGTTTACCATATTAATTTACTTTTCTGCTGTTGACGTACTGGGTACTTTTGTGGATACTTACGAACCTGCAACTATTATAAAGTTTTCGAATCAAATAGAGTGCCAATTATTTAGAATTAGTAAGATCTGAGATTCTCAGCAGTAACTGCCAACAAAAAGTTGAAGATCCTCCCTTTCAAAAAAAATATCTATTCTGCTTTTTTCATGCAAAGTTAATCCATATTCTAGTTTGATATTATTTCAGCCTAATTATCCCTCTGCAAAAGCCGCCCAAGCTCCTGGGCAGACCAGATCAGTTGCACTCTGCAGTGGAAAGTTTTGGTGATGATGACTTTCTATAGTTCTGTTTAGAATGGTTTGCAATTTCCGTAAGCCTTACTTCATGGATGGCGAATTCGCTCAATCTTGTGATATTCCATTCCTAAATGTATAGATAAAATTATGTCATGAAATTAAAGCTTTGTGAAGTATATATAGTGGATTTTCTTAGGAAGTTTTAATATCGCCATGAGCTTTGTCTCATGCTGTGAAGTAGTGCTTGTCTATTTGTCAGGGCCTGGGTTTCTGATATTGCTCTGAACTACCGGATACCCTATTTAGCTGACAAACTCCATCATGAAGATTTGGACATTCAAGCAATTATATTTCACATGGGGCAATGAATCAATCTCTTATTTAGCCATGCTTGTGTTACAATTGTTACTATGTATTATTTTGGAGAAGGAAAGGATAATGTGAAGGCGAAATAATCCCTTTATTTCTTTCATTATTCCTAATTTTAGGGTGCACTGGATGGTGGCCTTGATATCCCTCACAGTGACAAGAGATTTGCTGGATTCAGCAAGGACAGTAAACAACTAGATGCTGAAGTTCACCGCAAGTATATCTACGGTGGACATGTTGCTGCATACATGAGGGTAAGCTTTGGATTCTTGCTAAGTATGAGATTTATTCTGTAAACCATGGTGCCAAATCAAGAAAAAAAAAACTTATTTTGTTTAGAGATGCACTTCCTTCTCACAACATATTTGTGTGTTATATGCAGACTTTGATGGAAGATGAGCCAGAAAAGTACCAGTCTCACTTCAGTGAGTACATCAAGAGAGGTATTGAGGCCGATAACCTTGAAGCATTGTATAAGAAGGTTCATGCTGCCATTCGTGCAGACCCCACACCAAAGAAATCTGACAAGCAGCCTCCTAAAGAGCACAAGAGGTATGATCAATGCATTCACTTGATTTGTTTTAAGCCTTTAAATCTCCCCAGCTTTGTATTCTTCTGTGCGTTTTGGTTATGTTGAAGGATAACATCTTCTTGCATTGGATGTAAACTGTGATCCTAGTATTGAGCCATTGATGATTGAAATTTCATTGCGTAACAGGTACAACTTAAAGAAGCTGACTTACGAGGAAAGGAAGGCTAAGTTAATCGAAAGGTTGAAAGCACTGAATGCAGCTGAGGCTGATGAAGATGATGAGTGAATCCAATACTAGAAATTTTGAAGCATATTTTACTAGAATCTTTTATCTTTGCTATATCTTGCAGATTTTACTTAACAATCCAAAAACATGGCATTTTATTAGGTTGAGAAGTTTTTTTTGGATGTGCGATAAGACCATGGTTTTATTGAAAATTCCCAGGATTTAGCTTCAAATCAATCATTTGAGCAAAAGTTATTAAGTCAAAGATTTCCCAGAAATGTGTAAAAGTTTTGATTGATTTATGGACAAGAATACCCCTCAGAATTTAGATCAATTCTGTGATAATGAAGGATATGGATAAATATTATTTGGTTTAATTGAATTAAAGATGAATGGCTACTAAAGTAAAACATTTTATACCTCAAAAGATGTTAATATTTTACCGGTAACTTCACTCCTAATTAAATAAACATTATCTTACTGAAAATCCTTTATGCGGATCAAATGAGGGCTATTGGTTCAAGGTTTTAATTTCTTTTTATATGGAAAACGTTGGCACTTGATTACATAATTAAGTAATTTATTGTGATTCAATAATTAGTTCATTGTATATATATATATTACAAGATTTTAAATTACAAAGTTAAATTAATAAAATCTAATGTATAATATTTAAATCAAAATTGTAACAGAACATTCTGTGAGGAAGGAAAATTTGTAAATTTGCCCAAAAAACAAATTTTAAAGAAGCTGTTGATTTCTAATAGCCGAAAAAAAAAACTTATTAAGTGCCCCTTTTATCAAACTATTAGGTAGAAACCAAATATATAGCCACGAAAGCTGCTTTCAAGATCCCATTGAAGCTGAGAACATCATGGTTTATTTTAATTTGCAGGTGAGGAGATTTAGAGGAGATACTAGCCCATCAAACTCAATAATATTGTAAAGCCTAAGAAAATTTGTTTTGACATTGTTGAAATTCATGTCATCAAATTGTAGCATGCACCAAAAGTTTCAAATAAAAACTTGCCATCTTCTATAACATATGTACATCTAAAATCTACTCAGTTGGATTGGCACATGGTAACAAGTCCTCAAACCTTCTCATCATCTTCTGCAGCCGAGATCAAAGTCGTTACTCTTCAATTCTTCGTCTTTCATATTTGCTGCAGTCATCAATTTGAGCCAGTACATACTGTATACTGCAAAAGGAGCAAGCCAATCAAATATTACACATTGATTATGTGAAATGTGGTCACAGAAAATAAGAAATGCAGTTTCTGTTAATTATTGTTCTCTCCATGAGATCAATGGTATTCCGACTAGAAACATTACTCGAACAGAAAGAAATCAAAAGAGATCAAATCCACTACCTTTTTTCTGTTCTGGTCATCCATTGTAATAGAATTATCAAATCACAAAACTCCAGGGCTCATTTACAGCTATGCTTTCTTATTCTTGAAAGGTTTACCAAAACTATCATCCATTTTTACCATCAAGAAGTTCATGAGTAATTTAAAAGAACAACTATGATTCAATCTTTAAGTGTCAGGAAATCATGAGTCAAGCACTTGTGACTAACTCTAAAGGGGAGGGTTCCGCAACCCCTCTTTTTTAACACAAGTTTTGATTCATTTGGCTTTAATCCAAGGAACACAAACTTGTCTCAAAACTAGTGTAAAAAAAAAGGCTGCGGAACCCTCTCCAACTCTAAAACATCAAACAAACAAGCATAACAACCTAGGGCGGGAACCAGAGGAAAAAAAAAAAAAAAAAAACGCAAAAACCAAGCGTTTTGGAAACTCTAGCACAGACGCCAAGAACCACACCATCATCTTCGCCACTGCAAAGAAGGACCAATGATATACAAAAAAATCCATCACGGCCATCTCAAACCCCTCTCTCTTTCTCTTTTCTAAAACTTTGCAATTAACTAACAAATTCGCTGCCGGATATGGCGTTAATTCCAATTATCTCAAAGTTTAAAAGAGTGCCACACTTTGCATAACACACATGGAGAAGTATGGAGGAAAATGATGGTACAAAATTCACCCGCTATACAAATTCATCTAACACCAACACACATATGATAATTACAAGCAATTCTTGAGGCCTAGACAACGCGGAAACACATTGTTGCTTTCATCAGTGTTCCACTGGACATACAAGCATATCCATCATCCATTTTACAAAGAACAATCTCTGCCCAATGGTTGGCCACACCATACTATAAACTAATTAACAAAAAAAAAAATTCTAACTATTTTCTGTACATTTTGCAAGGTAATTGGATACCACCACAAACAAAAAACTCCAATTGCTTATAATATATTAAATTTTATGCACATCCCCTGAGGTTTGATCTAACTACAAGAAACCCCTAAATTTTACTTTCTCATAAAAATAAAAAACGGCAAACTAACCTTTTGCAGCGGAAGCTACTGAAGCAATGTTTCAGTGATATTCGAGACAAGCGAATGCAAGATACGAAACAAAGAGAGAATGCGACTGTATGTACGCGCTACACCAACACGCCGACGCGAATAAAATCAAGATATCAGAGGAAGTCATTGATTCAACATTACAAAGCTGTTAATAATCTCAATATCAAACGAAAATAATAAATAATATTCGGAAAAAATGAAAGAGATTGAAGCGTGAAGGTGAGACTGAAGAGGAAGAAGAAGAAGACCACCACAGTTGAAAGCGATCAGAGTATTTGTTGTTTTTCTGTTTTTAAAATAATAAGGAGAGTTGGATCGGGGCCACACTAGGCCCGATAGGCCCGGTCGATATGGCACGTGGACAGTGAGGTTTAGTGGAACGGCGGCGCCATAGTGGTTTAGGGAAAATTGGGGTTTTTCTCATTTAACCCCACGAACCTAGGGAGATATAATATGGAAAATGATAGATTATCGAAAATATCACCGAATGACGTGATATAATCTTGACCATGATTAATAACTTATAATGATTAAATTCGGATTGCGTCACGTCATTCGTACGCATCCTTGTACTATACATACTTATTAATACTTTTTAAAACTATGGAAACCTTGAAACTTCCTATCTCAAGGGGTGGATGATAAAAACCCGAGTAATTAGTGAAGAAGAAATATTATCCACCTAACTATTAACTAATTGTTAATTTTATCTTAACAATAATTGCTTGTTAGGTTAATCTCACTTAACGAAATTATACATATATGAACTTCTATAACTAAATTCAATCCTTTAAAAAGTTTAAAAACACGAAATTAGACTATGAATAAGATTATTATCAAACTAATCATTCCTATGTTTCAATAATAATATAATTAATATACCAGTTTGAATGAATGATATATTATATAAATATACTATCGTTTTATAGAATGATTTATATAAGAATTTGTATATGAGCAAACACGCGGGTGGGCCAGGCACAGGTCAGGCCTAGTGGGTACGGGCCCAACAAGTATGAACCCAAAACGATCGTTCTAAATGGATCCAAAATATTAGATCCGAACCCTGTCGTATGTAATGTATGGGTTGACTCGCGAATACCCATTTACTGTACATTTCAAATTTCTATTAAACCATCAGCTTCCACCATGTAATCGTCCCTTTCAACCACCAATCCACAATCCGTAACCAGTTAAAAGGTTGAGTGAACACAGGTAGGGTAATTAGCAAGTTTAGGTTCAATGAAAGGCTTTGGAATTGATCTATTTCTTGTGCATATCAATTGAAATATTTTGGAAAATGAACTAAGGAATAATGCTTTTCAACAAAAGAGAAACCAATATTTTTTTCTCTTTAGGATACTTTACTCAATTGTAGTTTCTTCTTAAGTTTAGTTGGGTTAAAGCAAGGGAAAAGTGTATAAATAACCATTACATAAAATAAACCCTTTTTTTTTTTTTTTTTTGGTAAGTGAATAAAACCTTTCTTGCTTGCGAGAAGAATGGTCTTTTTTTTTTAATTTTCATAGGAGATCCCCACTCTATCAAATTTATTAACAAATCAAAATAATAGATTAAAATCTCTTACATCAAAACTTTTGGATAAATAATTTATTTTAATTTTAAAATTTTTGAATTGATACGTTATATAATGTTAAAATTTTAATCAGTGGAATTAGGTCATGTAAGAGCAACACTACACAACAGACTCTATATATATAAAGTAATCACAATACCCTTGTATTGTATCGTTCATGGTTATCAAATCGTGTATTTATCTGTATCGAAACCTAATTTTTTGAATCGTGTATCGTAAGATACGTCTTTTTCAAAAAATTAATAAAAATCAAAATTTTCTAAAATTAATAATCATCCCAAGATTATTAAAGATTTTGTGGTATTATGACTTTAAATACGGTATTATAATCAAAATTAATCACAAAATTTCAAGATCTGTCAATATCTATATCTCCACTTATATTATATTACATGTAAAATGGGATACATATTCCCTTCACTTTCTCATGCAAAATAGGTAAATTTGACAGGTTTTAGTGAATCGGGTTGGGTGACCCGTTTGACCTGAAATTTTGTTGGACCTTTGGCCCAAATTAATAAAGTCGTATCGATTTTATCGATATTTTAAGGATACGAATAGATACGTATCGTATGTAGGATACATATCAACGTATCGAATGGTTTAGGATACACTCTCTGATACGTATCGTGGTGACCTGTATCGAATCGTATCGTATGATACGTTACGGGTATCGTATGATACTAAAACACCATGGTATCGTTTATAGCGGTAATGAAAACATATATAAGGCCTGAATAGCACATCTGCAAAACTAAGAGTTAGTGGGCCAGGGCTCAAAGGCCTGACGCTTTAGTTATTTTACAATATAAACCATGGCCCAAAGCAGCCCAAACTAAGAACGGTAGCAATTCCAGGCTCTTCAGGTCCTCTTTTCTTTTAGCGAGCTGACGACTTCTCTCCCGCAAACCATCGACTTCGAGCTTCAAAAGAAGGTGGGTAGTCTCTTTTTCATCTCCCAATTGAATGAATGATAGTTTGTTTCATTTAGTGCATTTGCTATGGGTTAGTAGTTGTTGTTCAGGTTTCTAGGTGTCAAACTTGCATACTTTTTCTACTTTGATGTATGATGTTTTGTTCCAGTTTCGCAGTTTTGTGATTATTTAAAAAGAGAATTTCAGTTTATTCAGTTCATCTCATTATGTGCCCGCCCAATTTTTTTATGTAGTACTCTTTTGTGAAATTTACATATTTTTAGTTGTGATTGTAATCTTAATTTTAGAATTTATAAGTTATCAAATGGTGTGATGCGGACTTGTTTTTTATTCTAATTGTTAGTGTGAGAACAGTTTG